TAAAATTATCTGAAAAAAATATTAATGTTAGTGAAATGGAAGATGTCCTAGAAGCTTATTTGGATTTTTTTAGTAATGAACTTATTACAACTTTTGTCTGCTCACCTATAATGACTGGAAAAACAAAAGCTTTAAGAATTATTCTTAATTCCTTTGTCAAAGAAGAGAGCAGATTATCATGTTTTATTTGAATTTCATATTATAAAACTCTCAGTAATAAGACTAAAATTAAAGTTAATATATTACAAAACACAGGATTGTGTGTATACAATTATCAAGAAGTTGATGGAGATTTAATTATATGTAATTAGGATGTTATTATTGTTTAGACTATACTTATACACAAAATTATTTTGAGATCACGAAATTGTAATTTTGAAAAAAAAAAGTTGAAATAGTTTTTTATAAAAGACGAAATTATTTTACTTAAAACTTGAAATTTTTTGACCACCCAGATTTATTTTTAATTGAATATATACATAACTAGATATTTTTTTTACTTTTATATTGTGACACTCTAAATTAGTATTTTTATCTTTTATCTATTTTTATCTTCTTTATTTATATTATTTATAATTATAGTTAATTTTGTAAATCAGTGATATGAATTAAGAAGTGTTACATTTAAGGATTATCATTGTTAATTTACCTAGGTATATCCCTAGGTATGATACCTAGGAAAATACTCAAATAGAATACCTGGGGATAGATAATGAAATTACCTTTGAAAATATTATTTGTATCACTTGGTAAAGAACTAATCTAGAGTAGAAAATAATATAGTTTGTCTGTGGCACAAAGGGTGTCAAAAGGATATAAATACAGGTCTCTTTAGCCTTGGTTTTTAGTCAGTTCAAGTTAATTAGTTTAGTTTTAATAGTTCTTAAGTTTCATATAATATCCAAATAATTTCCTGATTTATTCTTTTAATAAATATTATTTCTTTTATCATTTCTATATATTTATCTTTTATTATTTATTATATATCTTATCCATTTCTTATATTTCTTATATTTATTTTAATAAAGTTGATATTAAAATAAAGTCTTCATGTAATTTATCGATTTTTAAATCTTTTACATATACACCTTGCTAAGTCACAAACTAACTTGATATTGTAAAAACCCCATAACAATAAAGAATTCACTCCTAAGTTAACCTTCTTCCCTAACTCTGGAATTTACTATAATTGAT